CGAGGAGAAAAGAGGGTTGAGCGGAACATGCCCTGCGGGGCTGGCTTTCTGCTTGCAAGGGATTAGTTCCTCTGTGAATGCCTTTCCTCCCCCCCAACTCCGAAAAAGATGAGAGTTGGGATGAAAGTGTTTCCTATCCAGAATTCTGTTGTTTCTGTGACTCAGGAAGGGCTCTGCAAGAGCGCCCTGTTTGTTGTTGGGGGCGAGACCGCCCTGTCCTTTATTTATTTATTTATTCTATTTGTACACCGCCTATTTGGCCAATACGGCCACTCTATTCGGCTTCCAGACAGGTAAAAATACAATGACATATACATAAAACAAAAAATAAAAATATACAGGAATAGACATTAAACAATGAACAATAAAGAATAAATAATATTTTCCTCCTGTTATACCCCCCTTCTCTGGCCTTCTTCTCTCCAGCCACTGAGGATGCTCAGTCCTCCTTGGGTGGATGGTATGGTTCTCCTCTTAGAACCCTTCTGGGGTGGGATGCTGAGTTCTCCGTATCTTGCTTTGCTCCCTCAAGCCTGTTGGTGCATTTGTCTATTTCGCTTTTGCTTAATGAAGGCCTGAGGATTGGTGGAGGCCGGTGCTTCATACAAAGGAGTCATAGAAAAAAACCCCAGTTTTCTTCTAACCTGTGATTGGAAAGTGTGCGTTTAACTCTCCACCTCAGTCTGCTGCCTGGGTGAATCAAACTACATCTGTGTTGCTTTTGGAGTAGCTTCCTTTCTCTCTTTGAATTTCAGTCATCTGTACCCTATTCCATGTGGTGGACAGAACCTGTTGCTAAGAGGAAGTCAAAGGCTTGCTCCGAGTATTTGATGTCCATTTTATGTTGTGATAATCTCAGTGGGTTAGGAGAGGAGTGCCTTTCATATAGTCACCCTGGGGAGTTCATAGAGAGATAACATTTGAGCAGGGGGCTTCCTAATAACTCTAGTTCTGGCTGAGTAACACATTTGGGAGGCATCATCATATAGTAGCAAAACTGTTGGCCTTGAATGGACATTTGAATCCTTCCCCCC